TATCCTTTAGGCTTGCATTTAAATATTACTATATAAACCAATATAGGGAATCCAGATTTAAGTACAACGTTACAAAGTGTTGTAACGTTGCCAGTGAATAATGAGCTCTGACATTTGGATATGTGTTCTCTACAATGTGCCTGTAATGTTTACTGACAATCAAGTGCTGAAATTTAGGATAACTGAACTGGCGTATGCATTTCTCTTAGATAAAACAAGGGCAATTACACACACACACATGAACTTACACCATGATGTCTCTAAGTCAGCTATATAAAAACTGATTTTTGTTTCTTGAGATAGTCAATCCCCTCTCCCACCGGTTTTGGCCACTGTTCACTCACTGCAGTTAGCTAAGCCTGTGTTTCCTTTGACAGTCTCTGTGGTCCTTGGCCCATCTGCCCTAGTACATCATCATTGATCTCAACTGCTGAACTGGCGTGTCTCTTATCTCATTCTTTCATACTTTGAGGTGGCTTATGAACGCCCCTTGAAAATATCACCGGGTCAAGCTGTTAGCATCAATCCTGGCTGACCCTAGGGTTTCCTTGTTATGTAACAACAACTTTTGAGCATTTTCTTTCTTCCTGGTTGCTTTTCTGCTTTCTGCATTGAGGCTTTCTCCCCATTTCTTTAATCTTCTATCGTCCTTTTCCTTCTTCTCTTTCTCTGGTTAAAAATTCTTTGAATTTTCTCTGTTTATTTCAAGATCCTGTTTTTCCTTTCTTATTTTTGACATATTTTAAATTATGCTTTTTCTCTGGTCATTTTGAGAAAACTGATTTTAGTAAACCTTATTGTTTTAATTAAAAGTGTGATGTTTTTTGATAAAATCATTGGGAGACTATAACTGGAAATTAACATCTTCTCTAGAACTTCCAGAAAATATCATGACTCAATAAAATAGCAATAACCATCAGACTATTTTTTTTTTTACTCCAAAGGTTAATAACAGCTTAGGAAAATACATACTAGGCTACAGAGTTCCTTATTTCTTTCTTCCTTTCTTTCTCCCTTCCTTTCTTTCTTTCTTTTTCTTTTTTTAAGAGACATTTTAGCTATAGGGCGCATGCACTTGCCAGAGACAAAATGAGAAATCACCCCCAGGGGGAATGGTCAAGCTAAAATCCCTTCTCCTCCATTCTCCTTTTGGGATTTTGGGCATGTATGCACACACACCTGGTGTGAGTTTTTTAAGCCGCCAGGTCTGGGACTCGAACGACATTCAAATATGTGAGTCCAGTAACATAATCATTATGCCATCTACTGGTCCCACTACTGAGTAATTTTTTTTTTAATGAATATTTTTTCTATAGGGCACATGCACTTGCCAGAGAGACAAAAAGCAAGAAATCACCCCCTCCTTCCACAGATGGGGATAGCCATATTACAATCCCTTCTCTTCCATTTTCCTCTTGGGGTTTTGGACACACATGCACATGAGCCCAGTTTGAGTTTTGAGGCCACTGGGACTCAAACTATAGTCGACTATGTGAGAGTTCACCAACGTAACCATTATGCCATAGATTAAATTACTCTATGAGAATTGCAATATATATTTAATTTGCCACATGATATGTGTGCCCACCAGAGAGACGAGGGAGAAAATAGACTGAGAAAGCACCGTGTTGGGAGATGGTCAGATTGCAATCCTTTCTCTTCTTTTCTCCTCTCAGGATTTTGGGTCCCCACACACATGCACCCTGCATGTTACTCAAGTTGCTGGATAGGGGGCTTGAATAGCACCACCAGCCATGTTGGATTCAGTTGCCTTTAACTAACACGATAATCAGCTGACCCAAGTTGCAATATTTTTTACAAATTCTTTTAAATAAAAATACTTCATTAAAGATTTTATGTTGAAATTTAAATGCTGTATTTGAAATTTGACCAGGATTAATTTGATCAGAAATATTATCCATTTGCACATAATTGTCTTTCTTTAATATCACATTGTGTCATCAGACTTTAAGTTTACTATCTTTCTTATTTAGCTCTACTCATCTTTATTAATGATTCAGTTTATGGTATCTAATATCCCTGCTTGAAATAGGTTAGTATAATTCAGTTTGTCTAGGAAGTTAGTATTGAATATTTACCTCTATTAGAATTTCAATTTCTGTGCTTTTTTACTTTTTCTTCTCTTTTATTTTTCAAGTTTTCCCATAGGGTGCATGTGCTCACAGGAGAGAGGGGGAAATGAGAAAATCCCCCCTGGGGGCTTGGTGACACTACAGTCCCTTCTCCTCCATTCTCCTCTTAGGATTTTGTGTACCCATGTCCATGCACCTGGCATGATTTTCAAGCCACCAAGTCTGGGACTGAAATAGAAGTCAACCATGTGGAAATGCAGTGCCTAAACCACCAGTTCAACCTGGTGACCCCTCAATTTATGTTCTATACACCACTAAAAAGAACATAGTAAACATCTGTCATTTTTGTGTGTGTACAGAAGGCATTGCATGCTACTTCATTGTTGGTAAGAATGTAAATTAGTGTAACTACTGTGGAGAACAATATGGAGATTCCTCAGAAACCTACAAACAGAACTACCATCTGATCTAGGCGTTCCATTCTTGGCTGTCTACTCAAAGGATAGGCATACATTCAACAACAACAGCAACAACAAAAAGAAAAAACCCAAAAAAACCCTTGGCCATCCAAGTTTATTGTAGCATTATTTATAATTGCTAAAACATGAAATCAACCCAAATATCCTAGAACACTTGAATGGATTCAAAAAGTATGGCACATACACACTATACAATACTACTCTGTCATGGAAAACAATGAAACCCTGGCATTTGATCAAAAGTGGACCTATATGGAAGATTTAATGCTAAGTAAACCAAGCCAGATCACGGAAGAGAAGCATTGTATGTCTCCACTTAATATATACTGAATGTCTGCACTCTATGATAGAAACTGAAAGACTGGAAGGTATAAAGGCGTAGATCTACCAACTGTACATAGTAGAGTCAGTGTGGAAGGAGAGTGGACAATGAGGTCTGGTTGTGAAGGAGGGAATCAAAGTGAAAAAAAGAAGTCGAGTGTTAAGTGAACACAAAAATGGAAAATTACCTAGTTATAATGTATGTGCTAATGTCTTCCAGTGTACTAACATATAGTGTATCCATGCTGGGAAAAATCCATTTTATATAATGTAAAGATGTACAGTAATTGAATGTAAAAAAGTTAAAAAATAAAAAAGAGAAAAGATAAAATACTGATACTTACTAACATTGTATTTTCCATCATAACACATTTTTTGAGAGGTTTTTGCTATAGGGCATGTGCATTATTTTCCAGAAAGAGAGAGACAGAGAGACAGAAAGCAAGAAATCACCCACAAGGGGGGATGGCCATGCCAAAATCCCTTCTCCTCCATTTTCCTCTTGAGACCTTGGGCACACACATACATGTGCCCCATGTGAGTTCAAGCCATCGGTTGACTACATGGGAGTCCAGCGACATAACCATTACACCAACTGCGACATAGCCATTAAGCCAACCCCACACGATTTTTTAAAAAGTGTCATTTAATAATTTTTTTGATGAAGAAATACAAATTATTAATATTATTACATTTCAAAATAAAAGCAAAGTCATACTTTTCCAAGTGGAAACCAACAGAAAAATCATCAAAAGTAGATTAATAAGTAAATGCTGTCGTATTTATACAACAAAGTAATACTATATGAAAACAAAGTTAAAGGAACTAGATCATATACAAACGCACAGATAAACTTCACCAACATAATATAGAATGAAAGAAGCCAATATGGGGACCAGCAGTTAGCGTAATGGCTATGTCGCTGGACTCCCATGTAGTCGACCACGGTTCGCATCCTGGACTTGGTGGCTTAAAACTCACGCCGGGCACATGTGCGTGCTTGCCCAAGATCATGAGAGGTGAATGGAGGAGAAGGGATTGCAGCGTGGCCATCCCCCCTGGAGGGGGGGGTGATATCTTGCTTTCTGTCTCTCTGTCTCTGTCTCTGTCTCTATCTGTCTGGCGAGTGCACACGCCCTATAGCCAAAACCTCTCAAAAAAAAAAAAAAGAAAAAAGAAGCCAATATGTATTCCTAACAGCCAAGATATGGAATCAATCTAGGTATCCATTGATAGATGAATGGATGAAGAAAATGTGGTACATATACATAATGGAATATTATTCAGCCAAAAAAAGAATAAAAAATAGATCCTGTCATTTGAGGCAATGAACATGAGCCTAGAGGACCTATACACCAGGCTCAAAAAGCAAATATGTTCTCAGAGTAGAAGAGTGTTTAACAAAGGCTAAAAAGGATAAAATGAGTTGCTTCGTGGGTATGAAAATATAGTTAGAGAGGAGGATTAGGTTCCAAAGTTCTAGCACAGTATGGTGACTAGAGTTGACAGTAATTTATTGTTGACTTCAAAATAACTAGAAAAGAAAAGTCTGAATATTCCTAGCATATAGAAATGATAAAAGTTTGAGTTAATGGATATGTTAAATATCCTGACTTAATCATTACATACTATATACATGTATGGAAGAAGCACACTGAACCTTATAAACATGTACAATTATATGTGCTGGTTTAAAATCAGTAACAATGCTAAGATTTTGAAAACAGCTGTTTTCAACCACTGCAGTGAGTCACAGACTCCCAGGCATAGGGCAGCAGTGGCCTATGTTTAACGTCACTGTTCAGCTTCAGCTGAGTTGTTGCCAGGAGGGAAGAGAAATCAATGTAATCAGATCTGATGTTCCAGGAGAAGCCAGAGACCACAGTTTCTATGTGAAATCTCAGTGTTTGGGAATGTTGGCAACAAATTTAAACAAAACAAAACAAAAAACCAGCAACAACACTATGTAGGTAAAATGAAACACAGTGGTGAAATAGGTACTTCCTGTGACCACTAGTTTGCAATCTCTCCTTCAAAGGGCCCAGAACTGACTTAAATCATCCACTGCTGCACTTACATATATATCTGATATACTTCGTTAAAATATTTACTCACCTGGCATGAGAGATACCATGACTGCAAAAATTGTTTTCCCAAGGCGAGGTTTATCCATTGCACCCCATACGAGCTGACCCCTGTGATTTCCCCAAATGTGGGAAATGCAACTGTATATTTTGTGGTAGTGAGGAACTGAACTCATATTCTTCCTTTACAAAAATAAAAATAATAGAAAAGTATTTACTATAAAGAATAAGCTAAAATATGAATCAATGTTAAATATTTTTAGTAACTCTTTTTATATGCAGGTCTTATGTGACACTAGTGAGCAACGTTTGTTTTTAATATTATACCAATCACTAAAATTGCCTCTGCTTCTCATATACTGACTTTATATCTTCGAACAAAATGTAATTTCCACAGTGCACTTGTGCTCCCCAGAGAGAGAGGGGGATAGGAGAGAGAGAAGGGGGAAACACTCCTCTCCAACATGGGGCATGGACATGATACAGTCCCTTTTCTTCTGTCCCTCCATCTTAACCACTATGCTGTGGAGCCTCCATACCTTACTTTTTATTCATCATTTTAATTAAATAAAACCCTAGTAATCATAGATGTATTTGTTACCCATGCAGAAAGGACAGCATTTATTCTATTAAGAGTAACAAAATTAAACAGTGTATCAGAATGGTACAGAATATTAGGCTCCATAAATGTCACTACTGTGGGCAATTCTAGACTTGTGAAACAGTTTTTGGTGTAAACATGCTCAGTAATTTCTATTAGATTAGTTTACCAGATCACAGTGTTCTAGTAATTAAACAGTTGGCACTGTTTGAAGGTTCAGAATGCAACAGAAGTGTAGAGACATATTGCCCACAAAGAAATCAACTTCTTCACCTTGTTTTCTTTAAAAGTATTATGTATATCTTCTCTTGAACATTTAATAAAATTCAGTTCTTTCTTTCACTTGTCTAGCCTTTGAAATCTATCATTAAACATTACTAATTTATTCTCTTTTATGTATTTTAAGGTGAAAAGTGGGGCACTTACTCTTCATATACCAAGACTGACACCTAGTTATTCTTCAATTCATTAATTAACCAACAATATGTACAATGTATTTCATTTCAACTTTTGAAATATTATAGTCTATCATTTGCATAAACTATTGAATAACTGTTAAAAATTAGATGCAATTTTTTAATGTTGCAAAAATTTGTTCATACAGCATGGAAGAAAATTGAAATAGTTACTAAATTCCAAACTTCATGTCAAATACTTAATCATGTAAGATATTTGTGTGTGTGTGTGTGAACAAGTGTGTTAAATTTGATCATTAAGACCTTTTGTCTCAATGATGTATTTTTATTTCTACTATTTGTGTGTTTTTGTCCTCATAGAAAAATAAGAGGCTTTACCAATGAAATTTATACACAGCTAGAAGTCAGCAGGTTGATGGTGTGTCTTCTATTTTTCATGATGCCTTCTGTGAGTCTTATATATGCACTCATTGTCAGATGAGGACACCATATATCTAAGCATTTCCTTCATCTATCATAAGAAATACCCTTCACTCTCTTTATATGAGTTACAGTCATACTGTGTTTATTAATAAACTAGCTACGGTGAGTCATCCACATTTTCAAGGAATATTAATTACAAATTACATGAAAGGCAAGCTACACAAGCAGGACTGATAGCTGAAAATTTTAGATAACAAATAATTATTTTGATAAGGCTTATTTTTAATCTTTCTTCCTAGCAACTGGCAACATTAATAAATTGTCTGGTGAATTTTAAATAGACTTGATGTTTGCATAACTAAAGGTAGAAGAATATATTAGAATGCTCTTTCTTTTTAATCAAAACTGTGAAACCCAATTCCAATTAACTAGAGCATGCGTTGAGTCTCTCAGCGAACCAAGGAGTGAAGCCGGCTTTAGGTACATTATGCTCCTCATCTCAAATAGCAATGCTGGAAACTGATCCTATTTTGATACTGTGCATTCTTCTGACACAAGTGTTAATAAATGAAAAACAATTCTCCATGACCATAAGTAAAAGTCGAGGAACTGTTTCTTGTTACAAATGATATGCATGTTCTTGTCTATATGTATGTATGTCCATACATATTGCATGGGTAGATAGTTTGCAGGGAGATATGATTAGCAACCTCTGACCAAAGAGAAGAAAGAGTTCCACAGCCTTCCCTGGACTTTATAAGGAGTCTGGAAATGTGCTACACAGACAGTACTTCCTCAGCACACAATGAATTGCTTTATGAGTAAGGGTTAAAAAAATATAAATGTTTTCTTAAAGAGAAGAAGATATACAACCAGTGAAATAATAACTTTCAGAATATTTTTATATCAGTAGTATTATCAGTAAAACTTAGAAATATATACAAGACTATTATGAATCTTTTTTTTTTTTTTTTTCCGGGAGATGTTTTTGCTATAGGGCATGTGCGCTCGCCAGACAGACAGAGAGAGACAGAGAGATAGAAAGCAAGAAATCACCCCCCAGGGGGGATGGCCACGCCACAATCACTTCTCCTCCATTCTCCTCTTGGGATCTTGGGCACGCATGCACACGCGCCCGGCATGAGTTTAAGCCACCGGGTCCTGGACCCAAACCGCGATCGACTACGTGGGAGTCCAGCAACATAGCTATTACGCTAACTGCTGGTCCCAAGACTATTATGAATCTTTGGATTGTATGGCTAAAGAAAATTATAACCACAGAGTTTTATAACATTGCTAGGGTCACACAAACACACCCACAGTAATCATCAAATAATATTCAGAGTGATGGGACTGGACAGTCAATGGTACAACTATAAAATGCAAAGATCTGCAGGGCTGATCCACATGGGAAGGTTCTGGGTGTGTATCCAGAAACATACCTGAGTATGTCAGGAATATGCGTATCAATGATCCAGAACTGACTGAAGCTGGGGTGGATCCCAGCATCAAAACCCTGTTGAGGTGTTATTTTCCACTCTGTCTCTCTTATTTATGGAAGAAATAAATAAGCAAACTTAAAAAAAATACTCAAGGTGAAAAAATTATTCATTCATTCTGAATGAAAAAAATTAATAGGGGAGGTGGTTAAGACACTGTGGTGGTTAAGACACCATGGTGGTTAAGACACTGGACATTCCCACATGGCCGATCATGTTCAAGTCTTGGACCTGGTGACTTGCTTTCTCACTTTCTCTCTCTCTCTCTGTTTCTCTCTGGTTAAATTAAAATGAACAAATGAATAAATAAAGTTAAATAAATAATTCCTTAAAAAATTAATAAAAGAAAAAAACCTTCTCCTCTATAAAACTATGATTTCATATTAAATTATTAAAGACATAAGTTACTATTAAGTAATCCAGCACTATGATCCTATGACCAATAATTTTTTAATCCACTTATTGAATATTTATTGTCTTATCTCAGTTTTTTATAAAAATAGATATTGATACAAGATTTGTATAGTAGGTTTTCCTAGGAAATGCAATCCCAGAAAGGCAAAAGTAAAGAACAAAAGGGTCTCTAACTCTTGTACGTGCCCTTATCCCTGTATTCACTATCCCTATTGATCATTCTGACTTCCCTCAAAAATATTCTTAATTTACCTCTGAAATGTGAGCCATATCCACGTAAAATAAAGTCCTTCAAGGTGAATTTTCTTGCAATAAAAATGCAACTGTAATAACATATATAGAAAGAAAGGAAGGAAACATTGTTAATACTAAAGGATCCCTAGTTCTCCACGCTTAAAATGTAGGATCACTGGGGTCAGCCCATGGCCTGGAGGTTAAGGTAGCTCGATCCCATATGTCTGACTACATGGTTGGAGATCTATACCTGGTGGCTTGAAAAACACCAGGTATCTGGGCCAGTATGCCTGCATGCCCAAAATCCTAAGAAAAGAATAAAGGATTGTGGAGTGACCATCTGCTCTGACAAGGTTACTGTGAAGATTTTAAAGGTTAGTATAGGAAAAGCAGTTGGAACAATTTCTGACCCATAAAATAGACACTACACCTACCATCCACTGTGCATTCGTGGCCTAGTGCACGTAGGTCTCAAAATTTATCTGCCTTGTTTCTATTCCACATCCACATGCTTTATTCTCTTCAATAGAGTGCTTTGAAGCAAAACTCAATTGTCATAGCTTGTATGTATAAATTATTTAGTATTTAAGTAAATATTCAGGTAAACCAAATTCTCTTCTCTACCCCTCTCTTCTACAATAGCATTGTCAAAATTGACATTAATGTTATGCGAAGCAAGCCAGAATGTGAAAGAGAGGCATTGTATGTCCCCACTTAATATATATGAAATGTCTGCACTCCATGGCAGAGACTGAAAGACTGGGAGGTATAAAATCATGGAGAGCGACTGTGTGCACTAAAGACAGTGTGAGAAGAGGGTGGGAAAAGGGGAAGGGCAATAAAAAGGAAATTAAGGGGAAAAGAAAGAAGTAAAACATTTAAGGGACACAAAAATGGAAAAATATCTGTTGATGATAATCTGTATGGTAATACCTTTGATAGGACTAGTAAAGAGTGCATTCATTCTGGGAAAATTCATTTTATGATGTAATTATAACAGTGATTGAACGTAAAATAATAAAAGAAGAAAAAAATTAATATTTATAATATGACTTTAATTACATGAGAGATCAAGTCAGCATTCCAACTTTTTTTTTTAGAGGTTTTTTTGCTATAGGGTGCATGTGCTCACCAGAAAGACAAGGAGAGACAGAGAGACAGAAAGTGAGAAATCACCCCCCCCCAGGGGTAATGACCACACCCACAATCCCTTCTCCTCCATTCTCCTCTTAGGATCTTGGGCATGCACACACATGCACCCAGTGTGAGCTTAATCCACAGTCTCAGTCGACTACATGGGAGTCCAGCATCTTAGCCATCACACCAACTGCTGGTCCCAGTATTCCAACTTTCATCAACTATTTCGGTCATTTTCCTCTTACATCTTGTTGCACATGCATGGTTGACATGACTTAAATGTCCCTTAATAACAAGAGATAGAAATTGGCATTACACATTAAAAATGGTTGTAAAGTGCTCAATATTTAAGATAAATACTTTAAAATTAATAAAAATACTTATTCAGAATGTATCTGGTGCCTCACTGTATTTTTCTTAGTGCCAATGTGAAATTGCTGAATGCATTACAACTGAAAAATAG